GTCCTTCTCTTTTGTCGGACCTTTTCCCGTCTGACTGTTTTACCGTACTACAAAGATCAGTTGCCTGTATATAGGCTTCCGCTTCAATCAAGGCCTCTTGAGAGTCACCACCCTCATTCGGACCAAATCAAATTTGAAGGTCGACCCGTCTTTGAGACCTCTGAAAAAGTCAGTATAAGCTACTTCATCCGGTAACCCTTGAATCTGTATTCTCATCAGGTTAAATCGCCTGATGTAAGAACGAAGCCCCTCCTTCTCGCCCTGCTTAATTGTTCCTGAATCAAGGATCGTCTTCTTCGCAGGGATGTTCATGGCGAAGTTGGAGGTGAATAAGTAAGCAAGCGTCTTGAAGTTATTTACACAACCAGTCGGCAGGTTGCCGAACCATTGTTGTGCGATTCCTTTGAGAGTCGCTGGGAAACACTTGCACCAAGTGGGATCATCCAACCCTTGAAGGTACATCAGGTTGGTGAATGCCATCAGATGGTCTTCTTGGTTAGTAGTGCCGTCATAGGCGCCTACTAATACATTTTTCACTTTGGCCGGGTGAGCGGCTTCAGTAATTTCCTTGGAGAAGGCCGACGGCGGTTCACCAAGTCTAAGCAACCGTAGCTGCCAGTCCATAGGTTGGACATTTTTTGCTGCATGTCAACCAAACGGAGGTGGCCGTAAAAAATACTGTTGTTGCGGTACAAACGGTAAGTTTGGTACCGCCTGGTCGCTATGAAAACCGGACTGACGGGAGGTGCCGCCTGACTGACCCTCATGATACGACTGAGTATGCCTCATCGAGGTATTTCGCAGACTTTCTTGGAAGTTTGAAGTAGAGGCCGACTCTGACAATCGGTCACTCTTCTTCTGCTCTAGCAGTAGCCGAGCGTTTGTGTATGTTTTCCTCGACCCGTCCGCCTGAATATTACAAACAGGTTTCCTATTTCCTGGAGTAGGAAAACGATATTTTGTGAAGTCAAGGGCAGGTGGCTCCCACTTCCTGGATTTAGGATGAGGGGTCGCCTCTCGCCCTTGAACTGGCTTCCTCTTCCATGAAGTGGAGGGTTTCTTAGCCGACTGCTCCTTGTCCAGAGCAGGCGGCTTCTTGTTGATCAACTCTTGAATTTCTCCCTTGAAGTCCCTCATGAAGGTCATGAGTTCGTTCCTTGTGATGGGAGCAGACCCATCAGTCGGCTGCTGCGGAACAGGCGGTGCGCCTGCTGGCTCGCTTCCAGTTTGAAGATGTTCCCGTTCCCTCCTTTCGGTATGACGGGCACGTCGGGCCCTTAGGGTCCCGTCTGAAGTTGTGTGAGCTTCAACTTCAAATTCATTCTCAGTATCGTGGTCCGACTGAACTAGAGGATCGTCTAGGGGACGTCTCTCTTCAGGAGCCGGTACAAACGTGGGTGTCATCTCAAAAGTACTCTCCCCACAGACGGCGCCAAAATGTTTCGGGGTTTTCTGATGTCCTGCGGGAGAGTTACAATTCCGAGACTGGAACCGGACGCATGTACCTGCAAAACAAACGGATGCTCCGGATGATTGGAGATCCGCCTCCGACGGTCAAGTTAGTACTTGATTAAGGAGTAATTAATGCGAAAATTAAAGTGATTGGGTCTCTCTAGGTGAGAGTGTTTAATGTGTGTAATCTGCGTTTTCTGCGTAATCTCCCTTAATGAGGATTAAGGGAGGTATTTATAACCTCGGGAAACGTGCCAATCTAGGTTTAGGTTAACCTTGGGCTGATTGGGCTTCCCTCGGAAGTTGGGCCTAGGTGACCGGCTTCTCCATTAGGCATGGAGTATGCCACGTGTCATGACATAATAAGTCCAGGGTGGACGAATAAGCGTGTGCCACGTGGCAAGCCTTGAGAGGTCCAGTTGGGGGGACACTTGGCAGGACCTGATTGGCCCACGTGGCGCATTCCGATTGGTGGGAGCAAAATCCCCTAATCAAAAGGTATAATCGTTTATCCTTTATTATGCTTTTAATTATATTTTGCTTGTTAATTGCATTTATTATGGGGGCGGGTCTTGGCGGGTTTCATTCCGCGTAGTGTGGGTCACTACGAACCCCTACATCCTCACCAAGGCATGCTTAGATCTAGAACTTGGCGTCTGGCTCCCGAGATCGAGACCGAACTAACCTATGAATTACAAAGGCATTCTTCATTCAGTGACTATTTTTGTTTTCTAGGATTAGCTTTTATTTTTATTATCTTTTGTATTTTTGGTTGCATTTGCCCTTACCATGTTGAGCCTTCCCCTCCTTCATTATAGGACATTGCAAGCCCATGGTCGTTTTGTTTTTCTTTCACCCTTAGAATCGTGAAGCTTATTGTAGTTTTGATTTGAATTTTGGAAGGGAATGGTTCTAAATGGAAAGTGAAGTAGTGATTTTGTGAATACATGTTCAATAAAAGCGAATGTAATTCCTAAAAAAAATAAAAAAGGTGAAGGAAAAAAAGAAAAAAAAATAAAGGGGGAGAGTTGATGAATGAAGATGTAAGAGGAAAACGAAAGCTCAAAAGTATTTGGCAATGTAGTTCAAGTTTGTGGCAACGTAGTTTAAAAATTGGTGAATGATTGATTTTGAAATAGAGGCTTAATCACCCTTTGCTTCACGATTAGGCTAAGCACCAATTTCCAAATTTTTCCACACCCTTACCCCCTAGCTAACGTTACAACCCTCTCAATTCTCTTTTGACCTAGGTTGGTTGAGTCACTAGTCGGTGGAGGGATCTGGATCTCAAGCATATGGAGAGGGAATGACTTAGTAAGATGTCGGGTTCCTCTATTTTGCAGTGTTTTATCTTTGTTCCGGCTCCTTCGAGGAGTCACTTGATGCTATCTCCAAGGGCGGATTTGAATCTAGTTGAGGGAACGCGGTAAGATTGTATGGAATGCGGGGGGAGTGGTGCATTTTAGAGTTCTCTATGCTTAGCATGACTTGTCCTTCAATCAACTTTCGGCATCCCCTTGCATGCTCACTTCTACTACTCAGAAAGTTTGGCATTCATTCATGTTTGTTATCTCTAAAAGCTAGATTTGGCTATGATTTGTGTTGGATTTGTTGTTTTTTTTCCCTTGTTTTTGGTTTGTCTTGAACACAATTTTGTAAGAGTTCTGGGGTATGCTCTTTGGAAACCCTAACGAGATCACAAACTCGTCCTCATCAGCGACCTTGGGGTTTAAATGGCTTGCTGCTTTTGCTAAAATCAATTTCAGTTTTTCTTTTGTTCCTTGCTTGTTTGAATAACTAAATCTTTCTCTCTTGTTCATTTTCCTTTGCTTTGCTCGTGGCGAGCAAAGGCTTAGCGTGGGGGAGTTTGATGAGTGACATTCATGTCAGTCTTAGGGGTAGTATTTAGGTCTTTTCCCTTCCATTTTTCTTAGGTTTTTCCACCTCATTTCTCCTCTTATGGCTACTTTATGTGTTGATGAAAAGTAATGCTTATTTGGGCTTGTTTTGAAAAATTTATGCATTATTTTATCATCCCCATGCTCTCGTGATCTTTGCTATCTTTTGCAGGTTCCATGGCAGTCTAAGCACGGTGGGAGGCCCCATGGCTAAGCATGGAGGCATGGACAAAGGCAAGAGAAGCAAAAGGGAAGGAAAGGAAGCAAGAAAAGGAAGTGCTAAAGGAGGTGTGGCCGAACCTCTGAAAGTTTCGGTCGAACCTAGGTGTGGTCAAACTTTTGAAAAGTGTGGCTGAACCTCTAGGGTGCAAAGAAGGCAGTGTCAAACCAGTTTTCAGCAATTTTGCAGGAGGGGTCGAACCTCAAAAGTTCGACCAAACAAGGATCAGGGAGGTTCGACCGAACCTACCCAGAGTTCGATCGAAACCTACCCTCAGTCCGACTGAACCTACCCAGAGTTCGGTCGGACCTTTTCCTGATCTCAACCAACTTTGTACGGACTATTTAAGGTCCTTTTTAGATCGTTTTTGGGAGGAGAAGAAAAACAGTAGAATAGTTTTCGGCAAAATCTCTCTCTTAGTTAGCACCTTAGTTCATTAAATTACTTGATGATCTAGTTTGGAAACTTAAAAATCGAATCATTGTAGAAGAAAACTTCAAGGTTTATTCTCATAATTTTAGCAATTATTCAACATTTTGAAGCTTCAATAGTAACTTCTTTCACCGTCTCACTTATTTTCCGATTTTATTTTGTTATTGTAAGTCACTTGAATCTCTCTTTTTCTTGATAAATTGTTGTTGCATGTTAGTTTTATCCATAGTGAATCACTTTTCCCCAATTTTAGAATTACTTAGAATTCCAACTAAGAGCTTTGCATGTTAATCAAAATGAATTGTGAGTAGTCCTCTTGGCTAGGGGTTGGGTGAAACTCAACCTAATGGTTTATTAAGTAAACTTGGGAGAAGTATTGATGTTTGATTTGTGATAAATTGATTGTATGAGATTGCTTGTTAGTTCTTCATGATAGGAGTAGCTACCCTAGAATTTGGAGCTTGACGGCATGATATGCTTAGTTTGACATGGAAATGTAGATTGAGCATGTCTTTACCTATTGCAATTTGATTATGTATCTCCTATTGCTAAACTAATAAGGGATCTAAGTTTAGGAGTGTGAGTTGTTTTCCTATTTGCATGAGGTTGGTCTTACATACAGTCCTTGCTATCTCTTGTTTTCACTTGCTCCTAATACACTTGATTACCATGGTTGAGTGGATCCCATTCCCTAGTGCTTTTAATTACTTGAGTTAGAAAAAAAAAAGTTTGTTTGTCTACTTGATGAACCCCCAATCAACAAAAGTCTTCAAACTAGCTTGCGTATTAAGATCTTTGGCGATTATATCCCCCTCCTTGTGGACCGAACTCTTACTTATCATTGTGCTTGGTTTGTGAGATGTTTGCTTATAAATGCGTTTGAATGAGTGTTTCTAACGCCCATCAATGAAACGCGGTTTTGCTTCATTCTCGGTCATAAGGTAGCAGACCGCTATGTGATCCGTGTATACAATCACCTTGGAGCATATGAGGTAAGACTAGAACTTATCCATGGCAAACACGACTGCTAGCATTTCCTTCTCCGTTGTAGTGTAGTTCTTTTGAGCTTCATCGAACGTTCTACTCGCGTAGTAGATGACATGGGATCTTCCATCTTTCTTTTGACCAAGCACCGCACCTACTGCAAAATCACTTGCATCGCACATTAGCTCAAAAGGCAAGCTCCAATCTGGAGCTTGCACAACAGGTGAGGAGATGAGGGCTTCCTTGAGCTTTTGGAATGCTTCAAGGAAAGCCTCATTAAAGCTAAACACAACATCATTTTTAAGTAACTCGCTTAAGGGTTTGGCGATTGATGAAATTTGTTTTGATCAACCTTCGGTAGAAACCGCCATGCCCAAGAAAGGCTCTCACTCCCGTAACGGAGGTAGGAGGGGGCAACTTAGCAATCACCGAAACCTTAAGCGAGTCAACTTCAATGCCCTTTTTTGATACTTTATGGCCTAGGACAATACATTTCTCCCAATTCAACATCAAACTCGTCTCTTGACACATTTTCAAAACTTTTTCAAGGTTATAAAGACATGTGTCAAAAGATGAGCCACCAACACTAAAATCATCCATAAAAACTTCAATCTCATTCTCAAGCATTTTAGAGAAAATGGAAGTCATGCATCGTTGGAAAAGTGAGGGATCATTGCATAACCCGAATGGCATTCTTCGGTATGCAAATGTCCCATATGAACAGGTAAAAGTAGTTTTCTCTTGATCGCTTGGATGGATAGGAATTTGGAAAAAGCCAGAATATCCATCTAAGAAGCAAATGAAAGCATGATGGGAGAGTCTCTCCAACATTTGGTCCATGAAGGGAAGAGGAAAATGATCTTTCTTGGTGTTTTTGTTCAACTTCCTATAATCAATGCACATCCTCCACCGGGTCACCATCCGGGTGGAGATTTCCTCTCCTCCTTCTCCTTTGACAATGGTCATTCCACCTTTCTTTGGAACCACGTGAACCGGGCTAACCCACTTGTTATCGGAGATAGCATAGATTATACCCGCTTCACGTAATTTAAAATTTTCTTTCTTGACAACCTCTTGGAGGTTGGGGTTCAACCTCCTTTGAGGCTCAACTGAGGTGGCTTGATCATCCTCAAGGTGAATACGATGCATGAAAAAAGAAGGGCTAATACCCTTGATATCATCAGTGGTATAACCTATCACATTTTTATATTTTCTCAAAAAAACAAGCAATTTTTCCAAATCTAGCACATCAAGTGTAGCATTGACAATGATAGGGTATTCCCCTTCATTTCCAAGATAAGCATATTTCAAAGATAGGGGAAGGGGTTTGAGTTCTACCTTGGGAGGAGGCTTAGAACTCTCCTCCAATTTTTCCTCCGCTAGTTCGAGCTCTTCACCCCTAGGATCATCCTCTTCCTTCATTTTGGCCTCGTCAATGGCCATGACAAACTCCTTTGCCTCTTGAGAGTGGTACTCTTCTTCGCATGTAAGAGCTTCAACCATTGGATCTTGAGGGTTCATCACAACCCTTCCCAAACGATCCAATTCTTCATTCACAACATCGACCCTATAGCACTTCTCAACCATGAGGGTCTTAAGTAACTTAGAGAATTCAAAAACAATTTTCTCATCGGCTACCTCACATGTAATGGTGTTGTTCTTGCAATTGATTACCGCCCCCAAGTTCTTAAGAGCTACACGGCCCTAAATCAAGGGAGTATCCACATCTTCCTCCATATCCATCACTACAAAATCACAAGGCACACAGATGTGCCCAACTTGAATAGGGACATCTTCAAGCTCACCACAAGGTAGCTTCACCGAACGGTCGACCAATTGAATGGTTTTCCTTGTGGGGATCATCTCAATATTAAGCTTTTGAGAAATGGATAGAGGGATCAAACTAACACTTGCTATAAGATCGGCTAAGGCACCCCTAGCTTCCATGTTCCCAATCTTAACCGACAAGGTGAAACTTCCCGGATCCATTTGCTTCTTGGGCATCTTATATTGAACAAGTGCACTCACTTGATGGGGGAGAGTGATAAGCTCATCATTGAGCTTTCTCTTGTTGGTGAGAATGTCTTTCAAGAACTTGGAGTATGAAGGCATTTGTGTGACAACTTCGATGAAAGGGAGGCTTATGTGCAAGTTCTTCATCATACTTAGGAACTTTGCAAATTTGTCATTCAATTTTCTCTCCGCAAGTCTACCGGGAAAGGGAATCGGTCCATCCAGATTTCTAGCCTCACTAGGAGTTGAGGATGTCACCACATCCTTAGACTTCTTTTTCTCCATACTTCTCTCTTTCTCATCAACCTTCTCTTCTTCACTCAAACTCTCTTCTCCTTACTTCTTTTCCTTGCCATCCCCCTCCTTAGGACCCTTAATGGATGTGCCCGATCTCAATGTGATTGCCTTGCAAGAGTCGGGTTTCACAATGTTGGAAGGGTTAGTTTGTGATTGCCTGGGTAGAGTAGAAGATGAGTTGAAAGGAACTCTCTCAGCCAATTGAGCTAGTTGTGAATCAACCATCTTCTTATGAGCCTTGACCTTTTGCATTCGTTGATTAATGGCTTGCAGTTGTTGAAGAATTTTGGTTTGAGTAGAATCGGGTTGAGATGCTTGCCCTTGACACCTTTAAGTCGCTTGATTTTGATTTTGGTATTGGTGTTGATTATTTTGTTGGTGGTTCCTTGGGTAGTTTCCCCTTGGGTTTTGGTTTTCGTATTGGTTTTAGTATGGAGGATGGTTTTGGTATTGTGAGTTGGAATTGTATGTTTGTTGAGCTTGTTGGTTCCATTGGTGGGGTGGGTTTGCAAATCTGGGTGGTGGTTGTCTCCAAGCTACTCCACCGTTGATAAGTGGCATTTATGCCACTATTTAGGCCTCAATTCCATGTCATTTCCCTACGCTTGTCCCTTGTTTAAGCCTATTTCGCTAGATTTTCCCCGTTTTTCCAATCATTACACTAAATCCTTTGTAATCCCCTTTTATTTGCCTATTTGTACTACTTTTGGGATATTTCTTATGTTTTGTAGGCCGAAAAGGTGGAAGTCGAGAGAAGAGGGAAGTTCGGGAAGCCGTTCACGAGCCTCGAGAAGTCAAGCGCTATGGAGCCATATAAAAGGCCTTTAAAAGGGCTCTCTGAGCCTCAAAAGACCTCCCCAAGTTTTCTGGAGATGCCTCGGAGTGGGCCAGGAGAGGGTGTGGCCCAATAACCCGCGGGCGCGGCGAAGAGGGTCTGAAAATCCGTAAGTCCAGCGCAAACAGACCCGTGCTTACTCTTTCGGACATAAATTTTGATCAACACATCGGATTGAGGTGATTCAAACTGCGTTGGAAACTAGACTTAAAGGGATTTTCAACGGTAGGTTGCAAGACCCAATAGGATTCTTATAACAGAATTTATGGCCATTTAAAAATGCAAAATGTTGTCAGCCTTCTACAATGAGCTTGCGTGGGTTCTACCAGCTTCGTGAAAGGGCTCTCACACCTAAGGAGAGGGCGCTCAACTTCAGAACTTCTCCATCCGAATGCCTTCTTCCACCCAAGAAAAGCCCAACAAAAGAAAGAAAATAAAGGAGAAGGAAGCAACTACAACAACATGACGCAGCTCACAAAAGAAATCAGAGGGCAGCAGCTTGGGGCATGTTCTTTCTCTCCTCTTGGAGAGGATGAAACCCCTTGCTTCCTCTATCATTTTTATCAATTAGATTAGGCTTAATCTAGTCTTTAATATTTGTTTTCTTAGGTTGTAATGTAGATTAGAGTAGTTTAGAGGGAAAAAAGTTAGAGGCTTTAATGGAGGGTTGAGAGTTGAAGCTCCAATGTGACAATGGAGGATTAATTTCTTCAACAATCCAATAAGTTTTCTTTTCTCTATCCCAAATTTAATTGATTTCTTTGATTATTGCTTTGTTTAATTGATCTTGTAATTGATTTTGTGCTTAGTTTAATTTTTCCCTAATTTCATGTTTATTTAGTTTAATGGTTTAGTTTACTTGTTCTTGCTAGTTTGGTTTTATTTAGTTTCTTGATTGTTCTTCTTTATTTTTGTTGGTTTAGATGAGCTTAGTTCTTTTTCTAGTTAGTTCAATCATGTTAGTTTAGTTTCTTAGCTAGGGTTAGGGATGATTGTTGATTAATGTACAAAATGAACATTTTATTGATGTTTTGATTGGGATTATTGGTGTATTGAACTAAGAATGAAGGGCTTAATGCTTGGTGTCTATTTTAGCTAATCTATATCATGATTTAATTGCTACTATGCTAGTTGTGTGGGAGTGAGCTAGTTTAATAGAAGAATTTCGTTGCTTAGTTGACCACAACCTTATAGGCGGGGGTTAAGAGTCTAATGGCCTAGTGTGTGCGGGAGTGACCTAGGATGTTGAACAATTCTCCATGCTTTCAACTTGACTAATTAGATTATCGATAATGTTTGTTTGCGGTTGATTAATGTTAGTATAGTGGTGCGTATGGTTAATTCTTAATGATTTGAATGTGCTCATTGAGGTGTGTTTCATGCTTGCTTTCACTTGGGCTAATTGAATGCATAATCTAATTGCTACCCTATTTAGTTGCTTGGAAAAGAGCTATTTAGGTAGAAGTGAACCCTTTGAGTTGATCACAAGCCTCCGCCGGGATTGGGTGCTTGATTGTGTAGCGTGCTCGGGAGAGACCTAGATGATTAAGATTTTCCCCTTGCATTTTATTGAGAATGTCCATGCTAATTGCTATGCTTGTGCTCGTCACATTAATTATGGTTGATTCCCCTTCCCTAGTGACTTTATCTCTTACTTTCTTATTCCTTAGTTGTTAGTCTTTCCTTTTACTCTTAATTCTCTCTCCTCATATCTCTTTGACCTAGCTTAGTTGGTGGTAGTGTGATGATAGTTTAGCTGTCTCTGCGGATAGACCTTTTACTTACCATTAGACTTGTCTACTGTAGGTTTAGGTATATAAATATTTTTTGGTAGAGGGATAGTTAGTCCAACGACCTAATTCAATCCCCTCTCATCAATCGTCATTTCCCCTATATCCATCTTGCCTTGTATTGTATGTCGCTACATGCTCCGGGCTCAAACCTCCACAATAAGATGTATCATGGTTTGTACCTCCGCAATTTTGACAAGAGAAAGAGTTGACTTGGGATGAGCTTGCACCACTATTGACATTGGTGTTTAACTTTGCATGCCCTTTTGTTAAAAGCTCAATTTGATGTTGCAATTGATCGACCATTTCCAACTCATACTTTCCTCCCTTCTTCGGTGGATTGCTCCTTCTAACGCCCCAAGAGTAGTTCTTCACTACCTCTTCGATTGTTGCTTCAACTTGGTTTTGAGGGATTTTGATCAATTGTCCACCCGCCTCCGCATCCAAGTTAGCTCTAGACATAGGTTCCAAACCATCATAGAAGAACCTCATAAGCATGCTTTGATTTTATTCATGATGGGGACATGCTTGCACCAACTCTTTGAACCTTTCCCAAGCTTCACTAAGGCTTTCATCCGCCTCTTGTTCAAATGATTCAATCTTCTTCCTCATCTCGGCGGTCTTCTCTTCGGAAATGAACCTTTTCAAGAAATCTTGGACAATCTCCCTCCATGTTGTGAGAGAATTAGGCTTGACTTGCTTGAGCCACTTCTTTGCTCTTCCCGCAAGAGATTATTGGAATAGATGCATTTGGATGTATTCTTGGGAAACTTGATTGGTTTTTATCATGGCACAAAGCTCGAGGAACCTATCAAGGTGCTCAATAGGATCTTCACTTGGGGAACCCGAAAATTGCTCCGCTTGGACCATTCTTGTGTACTGTGGATGGATGGTAAAGTTGGTATCCGTGACGGGTAGAAATATCCCACCGGTGAGTTCATAATCCTCCGGATTACCAAACTCACGAAATAAAACATCCACTTGTTGTCCCGCCATTTCCTCGCTTTGGGACTTTGAGGACCAAGAATCACTCTCACTATCAAAAATAGCACCAAGACCTCGCCCCTCTTCTTGATAAAGTCTACAGACTTGTCTCAAGGTGCGGCCAATTTCATGATCAATGCTGTGAGTAGGAGGTCCTTGAGATGTTCTTTTCATCCACCAAATCTAAGCAAACTATTAGCAATGACTAGCAAGTGGAAAAAGAACAAAGTAAAGAGCAATAAATCCAATAATAGTGCAAATTAAGAGTGCAAAACAAGCCGTTTCCCCGGCAACGGCGCCAAAATTTTGATCGGGTTGACAATAAGTCGTTGGTCTACTATCCTAGATCAAAATTACAGTTTATATCTCCTAACCTAACTCTATCAAAATTACTTTAGATAGTGGCAAGGTAGGGTTGATTCCCAAGGAAATGGGGGTTGAGCACAATTAAAACGTATCTAGGATAAATTGCTAGTGACAAAAAGCGGTTATTATGGTTTGATATTGAATATTTCTATAATCAATCTAATTACCAAAAACGAGACCAAATTAAACTAAAGAAGAAGGGATTGAACTAGGCACTCTAAATGAAAACAAAGGACACGATTATAGCGATATCAATGGCAAAAAGTACTAGGGAGAGGGGGCTCCAACCATGACCAACAAGA